CACCCCATCCCTCCCACCCCACCCCCCCACTCCAGCAACCCTCAGTTTGTTTCCTGAGATTAAGAATTCCTCATATCAGACCATCACTGTGTCTTAAAGCAACATAAATTTGTTATCTTTCGGTTCTGAGGTCAGAAGTTCAAATTTGGTCTCATTGGGTTAACAGCAAGGTGTCAGTAGGGCTTATTCCTTCTAGAGCCTTTTGGGGGAGAATCTGTTTCCTTTCCTTCTTTGGCTTCTAGTGGCTGCCTACATTCCTTGGCTTGTGGCCGCTTCCTCTGTCTTCAGAGCACATCCCTCCAGCCTCTGTTTCTGTCATCGTGTCTCCTACTCCTGACTCTGATCTCCTGCCTCCCTGTCACAAGGAGCCTTGTGACTCTAATGGGCCCTCCCAGATAATTGAGGGTCATCTCCCCACCTCAAAACCTTAACACATGTGCAAAGTCCCTTTAAGCCACATAAGGAAACATTCCCAGGTTCCAGGATCTGGACATCTTTGGGGAGCCATTATTCAGCCCCCACATTGTGTGCTTTCAAATTCCCTGTTGGGCAGCACTGTTCCTTTCCTCCAGAGGCCTTGGGTGTTCTCCTTGACCTCTCCTGCTCTATCATTTTTGCCTCTGTGAGTCCTTAATGACACTAGACCCTTTCCTGCTTTCTCTGCCCTGAGAGCAGTGCCTCAGTTCCTACCCTCCCCTCTTGCCCGGCCTAGCTCCCACAGGCTCTTCCTTGGTTTCCAGGCCTCTGGTCATCTGCTCCAATCCCCCCTCCACCTAAGATAGTGGGAGCTTCCCACAGACAAGTCAGGCCCGTGTTGCTCCCCTATGGAAAGGCCTTCAAACGCTTTCCCATGGCTTCCAGGGTAAAATCCAAATTCCTAAGGATAGCCTGCAAAGCTCTTTCCATGATCAGCCTGCATGGCTCACCTGGGCGGGGCCTGCTTTTACAGGCCTCTGTGCTAGTGCCTGGGGCATTCTGGTTATCTCCTGCCCACTCCTTCCTCCAGACTCAGTGCTGCCTTCTCTGCAAGTCCCCGATTTCCCCAAGCTGGTTCGGGCCCCTTCCTCTGTGGGCTCTGCCTCCGTCACAGCACACCCATGACTGCTTCTTGCATGTGTGACCCAGTGCTTGGTAATCAGCAGCGTGGCACAGAGCAGTGGTCAACACCCTTTAGGCCGGAGTCTAATGGTAGAAAACCTGCCAGCCCATGTCAGAGGAGCGCTGGGCTCTGGCTGATCCATTGCAGATCATAGGTAAGAGTCCTCTTTATCTAGGTCTCTTGCTCCTTCTTGTCATTCCTCCTTGCTTGCCTCACTGTGTCTCATCTTCTTTCCCCTACACACACACACACACACACACACACACACACACACACACAATCTATCTCTCTTACTCTTTCAATGCCAAGCAACCCAAGAAGAGAAGCCATCGACATGCCCAACTTAGCTGAACCTTAACTAAACAGTTGGGGAACACAAAATTTGCCACACATCTCCATCTACTAATGTCAATGATGCGCAGTAAGGCTGGGCTCCATGTAGCTCAGGGCTGTATTGAAGGGCTATGGTTTTCTGTAATCACTTGGGTCTGGGACAAGGATGCTCTTTATATTTGAGGATACAAAATATTTAAGGATATTTGAGGAACCCTATCATGGGTCATCAATTTTGATTTTGTTTCTTGCTTCCTGGTCTTATTTTATAGGTCAGACTTGCCCTGATGTGAAAGTATTTTCTATTCTTTACCTTTAATGATAAAGCACTGGCTGGTTAGAATCATCGCAGATTTATGAATGGGCTTGCTATGAGTGCCTGTTGAATGTGGGATTTATTATCATTGTTAGCTAGTGGGGAATCTTTTTTTTTTTTTTTAAGATTTTATTTATTTGACAGAGAGAGCACAAGCAGAGGGAGAGAGAGGGAGAAGCAGGTTCCCTGCTGAGCAAGGAGCCCGATGTGGGACTCGATCCCAGGACCCTGGGATCATGACCTGGGCCGAAGGCAGCTGCTTAACCGACTGAGCCACCCAGGCGTCCTGTGGGGAATCTGTTTTGATGGAAATATCCCTTTTTTGTAGGCATGACAATCTTGATGGGGATTTACTTGGTAACTTCGTATCATCCAAAAGGCCCCCCTACAAAAGTAAGCCCACCCAAGCTATCCCAGGTGAAAGCCCCGCCGTGGCCCCTGCGTGGGAGAAGATGGACAAGCTTCAGTCGTCAGAGCTTTCCTTGGACACAAAGAGGATGGGCGAGAAGATGAGGCCAAAGTCTGGCCTGATTGTCCGAGGCATGATTACCGGGCCCATGGCCAGTTCCCCGCAGGTAGGTTGCTGCTCTCACAGCTATGGTGAGAGCAGAAAGTGAAAACCGGGCAGGGCTTAAGGAGTTTATTTGAGGGTACTCCACAAGGCAGTCCAAGAAGGGGTCATCTGTGTGTTCAGATGGGAGGAACACCTGCCTGTATTTTCTTTGGTTGTACTATCAACTCCCTGTGGGATCACGGGCAGGCCTCATCTCCTTTCCTGCCCTCAGTTTACCCATCAGGTCAATGAGGTGGATGCCATGGCTTTATCTTCCTTTGCTGAGTGAGAACACATCTACCAGTTTTCCCTTTGCCATTCAGGAGTTGGGGCAAGCCATCCAAGTCTAGAGAACATCTTTTTTATTTTTATTATTTTTAAAAATCTTTTTTATTTTTTAGAACATAGTAAAAAGGGAAAAAGAAATCTCAGTCTTTATGGTTTCATTTGCTTTGCTTTAAAAAGAAAGTCTAATATGTCCCATCATTGTTTCATAGTCTTCCTTAAGGAGGGGCTCTGGTAGGGTCCCATCAGGTGGTGGGGGGGGGCTGAACCAAACGAGAGAATGAATGTAAAAGGAGTTTGTAAAACCACAAAGAAACAGGAAAACAAAGGAAAATCAAACACCAAACTCACAGTGTGGTATTAATCCAGTGAGAGAGCCCGAACAGACCCACATAGGTCATGTGTGTCCGTGGCGGGTCACCCGTCTTCTGGGCTGCATGGCTGGATGTGGACCGTGGCTCTGGAGGCCAGCGCTGTTCTCCCAATTGGAATCAGGACAGAAAGAAGCCGACCATCTCCCTGCCTCTGCCTACATCATGTGGGCGGGGGGTCGGGGGGATGGGTTTGGTCCTTTGGAAAATAATGGTTTACTGAGTTATCTGAGTTACTGAGATTTTCTGAGTGTTGACATTTCACTATAAACAATAAACCCACATCAAAAAAGTCACATTTCTTGATGTTACCATTCAATTCGCTGGAAAAGTGTTTAGGTGTTGAGAAGCCATCAGGCTCCCAGTGGCTGAGGCAAGTTTCCCCAGATTTTAATTTTTACCTGACAATTTATATTTTATCACTGACAGTCCATCAGTTGTTTCCCTTGAAACGACAGGCTCAGCTTATTTCCAAGAAAATGCCTGCCGAATACCCAAGTCTGAATAACCACAGTTCGTCTGTCAGTTGTTCCATGGAAAAAACTAGCAAGTTCAATTCACAGCTCCGATGGTTGTGCAAGTGCTGTTCCTCGAGACAGCTGTCATCCTCTGCATCGGGCAGAGTGCTTATGGATACCTTCCATTTTGCCACATGGACTGTTAAAGAGATGTGTGCCGTACAGTTGAGATTGAATATAATTAATACTTTTTATGCTTCAGCATGGACAGTCTTAAATTTTCTTTTTTAAGATTTTATTTATTTATTTATTTGAGAGAGAGAGAGGGAGAGCATGAGCGGGGGGGTGGGCAGAGAGAAGGAGAGAATCTCGAGCAGACCCCACCCTCAGTGTGGAGGCAACCTCACGACCCTGAGATCATGACCCGAGCTGAAATCAAGGGCCGGGTGCTTAGCGGACTGAGCTGCCCAGGCGCCCCCAGCATGGATATTCTTAGGTGAAATTAGCATTTTACTTATTTATTTTTATTGCAAGTGGTGGCAAATACCTCCAGCACTAGCTGGTAAAGTTTGGTGCCACTGTCCTGATTCGTGCTATAGGCCAGCAATTTTTCGCACCCAGTTCATTTGTATCATCACTGCAAATGTCAACACAGTCAAAAGGGCAAATCATGTCATATTATTATGATGAAAATAGGTTTGAGCTCCCTAAAAGGATTTGGGGACCCTTAAGGCCAGGCAGACCACACTTTGAGAACTGGTGGACCAGATGAATGCCAGAGTCCTGTCCTACAATGACATCCAATCAATCACATCCGTGTAGTTGAGAGCCCCTTCACAACTGAGGTGTGAGGTAGATGACCTGGATCTGCTTTACTGCTGGAAGATTGTCCCAAACTTCTAGAAGGAGGAATGATTGCCTTGGGAGGTGTGTTTTTCCCTTGGGATATCCGAATCCTGTGAAGGGCATTGAAAGATAGGATAGGCTGTCGTAGAATTTCCCCAGGTTTTCTAGAAAGTGTTTTATGGGTCTTTGAGTACCTTGGCCATACTTTCTTGTTTGCTCAAGAGAAAAAAGCAAACTTTGCTAGGTATTTCATCATTTCGCTACTAGATCAGTTCTGCCCTTTTAAAGGATGAGTAAGAGTTTGGGTTCCCTGCCTTCGGCCAGAAGTTTGGCTCTCCTTGGGAATGGTGACTAATATTTCCTTCACTGTGTGGCAGGGGATGCCCTGGTGGCTTTTGGAGGTTTGTAGTGCCTAGTAATTTACAGTAGGCAAGAATACTACAGAATTAGCTGTTTCTATTCCAGCTCAGGCTTTACCATTTGGTTCAGGATTATTTCTGGAAATGCCGAGAGATCCCAAATTTTAAACCCAGGAAAAGCCTCACAGGTCTATTTTTGTCCCCTCTACCTCCACTCCCTGACCCTAGGTTGGTAAACAACTTGAGTTCCCATTTTATTAGTTAATCATTGATAGTAAGAGAGGAAATTTCAGTTGACTCCTTTGGAATTCCTTCAAACACTAAGCAAGCCTTGAGTGCTTACTAGGGGTAGGTCACTGAGCTGGGAGCTCGGTGGACACCAGAGATAAATGAAGACTGGCCTCTGCCATTCCTGGTCTGTTAGCAGGAGGGGTGAAGGCCCTGTTTGAGTGGGGACTGGGTAGAGGCTGTGGAGTGGTGGCAGATATTGGTTGACCGCCCTGATGGGTCCGGCTCTGTGCCAGTGCCTTCCATGGGCCTCTCCTTTAATGCCACCATCTTGTGCAAGATAGATGCTACAGGTCCCCAATCCCTCATCCACCCTTTCGGCCACATGTGTTTTGGAATTGAGAATTTCTTTATTATCAGAAAAGCAACACTGTGCACAAACCACATAACCACCTGCAGTCAGATTTGGGGTAGCACCCCATAAGCAAAAAGGACTGTGAGCAACCTCATAGCAGTTAAAAAGAATTTGCCATAGGATTCCAAAAGAAACTTGTTTTGGGAGGTTTTAGAAAGTACAGACGGTGGATTGTGGGCTGGTTATATTACAAGTGAGGGCAGGGCGGGACAGAGAAACTAATAATTTGGCACAGGGGATATGGCTGGTGGGCAGGGGTGTAGGCAGTAGAAGGCAGGCCTGAGCCTGGAGCTTCCCCTGCTGCTGGAAGGTGCTCTCTTTAAGGGGTGAGGGAGAAGGGCTGAGCACGCTCCTGGGCTTATGCAGGTGGAGCACAGTGAAAGCATTACAGAGCGGGGAGCCTGTGAGTACCTCCCCAAACAGTAGGCAGGGTTTTAAGAGGAGTTGGGGATGGATGGTGAACGACGTTCCTAGGAGAGGAAACATCGTGGGCAAATGCTTGTAGTGGGATGGAGTATTTCCTCACCTCCCTTGAAGGGGATCCTTACTGCCCTTGTGCTCGCCCCTTCTAGGATTCCCTCCGCAAACGCTCCCTGAGGCGGTCCCCGGCCTTGAGCAGCACGACCCAGGCCCCCGAGGAAGAGAGCTGGAAAGTGCCTGGGCTCTCCACCCGTGCCCCAGCCTGTCCCACGGCCCAGGAGGGCCTGGCTTCCGGCACTGGCTCCCCTTCCAGGAGCCCCCTGGGCCTGCTCAGTGAGCTGACCTCAGAAAAGCGGAGAACCACGCCCGGCAGCCCCCCTCACTTGTCCGGCAAAGGGCTGCTGCAGAGGGCAAGCAGCAGGTGGCGAGATTTCGCAGAGGATAGCCCTGCTGTGGATGGCGGCCCCGAGGCCAACGGGTCGCCCTTGAAGTTCTCCTTGCCAGGTGGGAGTTCCAGGCCGGCCCAGGAGAGGTTGGAAAGGACGTTCAAGAGGCAGGGGAGCCAGCCCCTGCCCCTCAGGTGAGCATGCTGTGCTGAGGTGATGGCCCAGGCCCCAGTGGCTCCTTGGGCTCTGAGAGCAAGCCTGTGAAGCGGAGAAGGTGGGTATGGTCCCTCCACCAGGGAGGAGACAGCCCAGAGCGCACCCACACAGGAAGCTCCAGGGAAGGTTTCCTTGGTCCTTCTTTCTTCTCAAAGTCAAGAAGGCTTTGGCAGATGGTTCCCAGACCGGCCTGCAGCAACATGGCCAGGCTGACGTGGTGTGAGAGGCATTTCCTGTGGGGGACCCCAGATGTGGTTACGCATCAGCGCCCACAAGCCTCTTCTGGGGCATTTCTTCCCCCCTCCCCCATCCTTTTATGCTTTCACAGTAGATCTTGATGATTCCTATGTTGATTGATTTTTCACTGGTAAACCAACCTTACATTCCAGGAATAAATCTTACTTGGATATATTATCTTTTTATATATTGTTTGATTCAATTTATTCATGTTTGTATGTAAATACAATAGAATTGTCTCTAAATTCCTGAAGGGGATTGGTTGGCAAATTTCCTTTCTTGCAACAGCCTCATGCGATTGTGGGATCTAGAATACGCTAGCAGGGGTGCCCCTTTTTTCTCTTCTCTTCAAGAGTTAGGCACTTGGGCACTGGTGGTATGTGGCAAGCTAAGTAGATATGTCCGTGAACTCCCTTGGTGACCCTAGGGAAGCTGGGCCTACTCTGCTTAACACATTTCATGGCTATGTTATCTGATGCATATACATGTAGAATTTTTAGTATCTTCGGGATGGATAGACTTTTCTATCGTTATGAAATCTCTATCTCTAGTAATGCTTACTGCCTTTGTGTCTATTTAGGTAGAGCGACCCCGGCCTTCCATTGATTATAGTATATCTATGGGATGTCTTTTTCCATTTTTTTATTGTATCCATTCTGTAGCCTTTTACTTAGGGGTTCCAACCAAAATCCTGTGGGGTTTGCCAGGATCCTTCCCTCTTTTTAAGAAAATTGTAATTTATTCAAACTGAACACGCGCACACACACACACACACACACACAACCCGGTTCACCCATTTCTCCTGCGCCCCAACTCCCCTCAGCCTTTTTTTTTGTAATACCTTTTATGGCCACAGATTTCCTTCTGAGCAATGCTTTGTTTGTATCCCATGAGTTCGTATGTTATACATTCATATGATTTAGTTTAAATATTTTCTAATTCTTGCTGTGATTTCTTCTTTTGCCCCATAGGTCATTTAGACATGTATCGACCAAAACAAACATCTGGGGTGTTTTTCTGGTTTCTGCTTTTGATTCCTGGCTTCTTTTCCCTTCTGCCATTATACACTTTTTATGATTTCAATCTTTTGATATTTGTTGAGATTTCTTTATGGTCCAGTGTATATTTAAAGCTTGTCTCTTATAAGCAGCATAAATTTGGAATTTTTAATCCTATCAGATAATTTTTCTTTTAGTTGGGATAATTATTGCTTTTACATTTTCCTTTTGTGTTTGTTAGGATGAAAAGATCCACTTCTGTTCCTCTTCATAGAGTAAGACAGTTTTCCCAGCACCTTCTGCAATCTGTTCTTCACCCCATTGATTTATGAAGCCACCTTTATTCTTTCCTAAGTTCCCATTTCAACATGGGTCTGTCTTTGAGCTCTCTATTGTGTTTATTGTCTTTTGTCCTTTTTTAAAAACTAAAACCACATAACTACAGCTTTTATTATTATGGCTTTGTAGTTATAGCTTAGTATCTTGGTAGGGCCAGTCCCCCTTCTTTTCCTTTGTTTTAGCATTGGTGTAGCTACTTATAGATCTTTATTCTTTCTACAGGCCTTTTTCCTGTTACCCAATGTGTGTAGCTTATTTTCCCACAAGAGGGAGAACTGGCTTGTTCCCTTGCTGTAAAGGCCCGGCTTCCAGATCCTGGCTGATCTGGGCTAGTTATTTGTTTCTGGACTTCATTGTCTCTGACTGTAAAATGTGGCCACTGGGTAGATGATTTCCAGCTTTCCTTCAAGCTTATGCATTTTGCTGGCCTAGGATTCTTACTTCCAGAGTCATTCTGGGCCCTCTGCTTCCGTTATCAGGTATTTATTGAGTATCTACTGTTTACAGCATACTTAGGAGGTGTGGCACCTGGGCTCTGGAATCTGATGAACTGGACTGGCAAACCCATTCTGCCCCTTAGAACCACTGTGGCCTTGGACCAGTAATTAAACCATTGAAAAATGGTATGAACTTTGTCTTACAGGAAGCAGGTAAAAGTACATTCACAACCCCTCCGCCAATACCAGGCAAAGTATAATTAGGGGTGTTTAACACTTGTTTAATAGTGTTGACCCTTATATTGATCAGTCAACAAACATTTTGGGGGCTTTATGTTTGCCTACCACTTACTTTCTATTTGCTGGGCACTATGCTAAGTACTTGTATATATTGTCCCATTTGCTCTTTATAATAATCCATTGAGGTGTGAGTGTTATTGTTGGTTTTCTTTTCTTTTGTGTTCTCACTAAAAAGTATTCCTCTCCTGAGTTCTGAACAAATTGACAAATCAAAGAAAGGGTATCAGTTAGACTGGAGTAACATACATATCATTTCTGTGATCGATAAGGGGAAGATAGAAGACACAGCAAATCACAATCAGGAGGCCCAGTGGGCCCAGAGCTAGACAGACTTCCTCACCTCATGTCAGGCCTAGGGCAGGTCAGCTCACATGGCCACATGGTGGGAGGGGCTGCCCCCCTGGAAAGCAGCTCTCTCTCAAGAGTAAAAGGGTACAACTGAGCTTCATGTCCCCTCTTTCTTTCTTTCCCAGATTAACCAGGTAAGTCATACTTCCTCCCTTTGGATGCAGTGCATAGAGGGGAGGAGAGTAGAGGTCTGCAGGAGGGTAGACTAGTAGAGCTCCCTCCAAACTCCCAGAAGACACTGGGAGTTGAGAATGAGCATCCTCCCAGCACTTATTATCCCGATGTTACAGATGAGGAAATTGAGGCCAGAGAGTTTAAGGAACCTGTCAAGGTTCTGGGTGGAAGCAGGTCCCAGGGCTCACAGTTTGGTGGATGGAGTATGGTTTGGATTTCAGCTGACTCTTGTCCCCTCCGCTAGGCATCTTTGTGCAGTGCACATACTACATAATGGTATGCAGCACCTTTGATTTAAAACCAGGGCCAGAGTAATCTCCCTGCCCTTCCCAGCCCCCCTCCATCAGTCCTGCCCACCCGCACCCCCTCCCCATTTATGTCATTCGATTCAGTAAATGGGGATGTGAGTCCTAGTGTGTGTCAGATCCTGTGAGTGTCTGATCTTCAAGGTGAAGGAGACGTGTGTGTGTGTGTGTGGTCATTTTAAAGCACGACAGAGGACAGTGAGGCCACAGCAGAGCTGGCTTGTATGTGCAGCCTTGCTGCGTCACCCGGGCCTAACGGAGCTGAGGGAGGTGGCCACGCGGAGCCTTCTCCGGGCCTTGCAACACGGGGCTCAGGGCTGGCCACAGGAATCCCAGCTGGGGGCAGAGGCAGGGGCAGGAGCGGGGAGCATGTGTCCTGGGAAAGAGGGGGCAGGTGCACCATCTGACCCGCTGAGATGTCAGGGAACACAAATATCTCTGCCTCCGGACTCCTCGGATCTGACTCAGTAGCCCAGGGGATGATTTCCTGCTTTGATTTTTGTTTCTTTCCTGTATCCTTTGGTCTCAGAAGACCCTTGGGAACTATGTCGTCTGGGCTCCCACTGTGGGGGTTGTGGCTGTTTGGGATCATGTGGCATGCGTCCCTGGCTTGTCAGGGCTGCCCTTGTGGGGTTTCTGTGATGATCAGTTGGATGTGCTGGGTCTCTGGCCCTGACCTGGTCCCGCAGCCCTTGCCTCGCTCTGCTTCCTGCCATTGCGCCGTGTCACAGGCAGGTACCTTCCTCTGCACCTTTACAGATCTTGCCGTCGCCCACACGCCGGGGCGAGGGCAGGTCCTCAGGAAACCCTAGGTGCAGGACTAAGCACTGGGAGAGGTGTTCTTTATTTATCAGTCCCCAGAGCCAGCTGTCCCAAGCCTGGTGGCTCTCATGTGGCACTCTGTGAAATTTGGTGGTCTGGTTGGGGGTGACCTCACTTGTGGTGCTTACAGACGTCTCCGGGGGGCATGCTGGCCTGTCATTTGTGTAAGAATCCCTCAGAGTGACTCTCTGGGCCTTTTGATGGCCGCACGGACTTTGCCATGGTGGTTTTTCTGCAGATGAGCTCAAAACCCGTCCCGTGGGGTATCTTGCAGTAGGAACTGGCTCCAGCTTCTGTGTTCCAGGTATGCACGGGCCACGCAAGCTCTGGCACTTACTGTTTGCCCAGTGCCATCACGGTCATGAGATTGAGAGGAATTGTTGGCCTCCCTTGGGGATTCAGCCCACGGCAGTGGCCACAGCAACAGTCTCTAGGGGCCAGAGCCTTTGAGCAAATGCGTGTCCCCTCAGGCAGCTTGAGCCATGGGGCCTTGGAACTTTGGGGATGAAGCCCAGCAGTGTGTGTGTGCTTTTAAAGATTTATTTATTTGAGGTGGGGTGGGGGGAGACTGAGTGTGCTTGAACACGAGTGCAGGGAGGGGCAGAGGGAGGGGAGAGAGAAACTTTGGCAGACTCCTCGCTGAGTTTGGAGCCCGACATGGGCCTCTGTCTCACAACCCTGGTATCACGACCTGAGCTGAAACTGAGTCGGATGCTTAACTGACTGCGCCACCCAGGGACCCCCAGGAGTGTGTTTTAACAAGTCCTCCAGGTGATGTGCTCCAGGCTGAGGTTGGGGAACCAGTGCTGTAGAAGCCCAGCCTGCGATGGAGGGTCAGTTGCATGTAATTACTGGGGGCGCTCTTAGGAGAAAGGCAGTGGGGGAAGCAGGCCAGGGCAGGGGAAGGTCTCAGCTAGGATGTGGGGCCTCAGTCGGATCCCACAGGGAGCTGAGAGGGTGAATTGACCCAGAGCTGCCCCACCATTAGGCTAGGAGAGGGCTTTTTTTCCCATGTCAG